TAGTGATACTGCCTCGGAAACCCAAGGAGGGGTCGCTATGAGTCGGGGCCGACTTGACGGCACATAACAACAACAACAACAATTGCAAGGCTCAGGTCTGGAGTGGAAGCTACTCTGTTACTTTTCTTACAAGCATGTGCCACTGTGTTTTCTCTTTATGTAAGTCTCTTGAGAAATCTGTGCTCAGAGGATTCACAGTTTAACCAGCCTGGTTTCTTTACAAGTCAGCAGATTGCAGATCTAGTGGTCTGCAAATCACCAGGCCTGTCTTCCACAGCACCCCTGGGTAGGCTTGAACCACCAACCTTTAGGTTAGTGTTGTTGTTGTTATGTGCCATCGAGTTGGGCCCAACTCATAGCGACCCCTCCTTGGGTTTCTGAGGCAGTATCACTAAGGAAGTAGATTGCCCCATCTTCCTTCCAAGGAGTGGCTGATGGGTTTGAACCGCCAGCCTTCTGGTAAGCAGTCAAGTGCCTTATGCACTATGCTACCAGAGCTCCTTTTAGGTTAGTAATCAAATGAAAATGTTTTATGCCACCTAGGGACTACCTAGCGTCTTTTGCTGAGTGGATTTCTGCACTATTTGTGAACTAAAGAGTTTGCTAAAACCAAACTCACTGCCATAGAGTTGATTCCGACGCATAGCGACCCCCACTGGGTTTCTGAGGTGGTAAATCTTTACGGAAGTAGATTGCCCAATCTTCCTTCCACAGAGTGGCTGGTGGGTTTGAACAGCAAGACTTCTGGTTAGCAGTCAAATGCCTTAGGCACTATGCCACCAGAGCTCCTTAAGATTTAAGATAAGGAACATTATATTAAGAAATTTTTCTTACAGTTTGTGATAGTTAAGGTTATGTGTCAACTTGGCTGGGCAGCTGGATGTAGTTATTCCCCATGATGAGACGGGTAATCAATTCCATGGTAGAATCTACTGAAGCAACTAAGTAGCTGCCTTAGGAATGTGGTTTGCTTCCAGTATATAAGGAGAGGTTTTGAGAAGAGTCTCAGGAGCTTTTGGCACACCTGAATCCTGCATGTAGCCAACTAGCTGTTCAGCAACCTGCCATGTTGTCTGCTGATCCTGGGACTGTTAATGGACTTGAATCAGTGGCTTGCCATATGGTTTGAAAATATAGGGACTGTGCCTTTTTACTTGTTGAGTTTGCCAGCCTCAGCAGCCAGCAGCTGCCTGAGTTACAAAAAGCCTCCAGCTTCAGTGGGCCTGGAGCAAAAGGCAGAGCTGAAGCGCAAGGTCAAGGGGCCGTCACCTAGCCCCTAATGCTTGGCACTTTGAAGTTGGACCTGCAGCCTCCTAAACTATAAGATAACAAATCCCTGTTTGTTAAAGCTACCCATTTGCAGTATGTCTGTTAGAGCAGCACTAGATAACCACAACACAGTTCTTTTAATGATCTTTTTAAAATAAATTCTACACACATTTATTCGAGATGATGTGGAAATTCCAGTATCAAAAAGAAAATCAATATTCATCAGCAACCCCATTGCCAAATTACAACCACTGTTGAGGTTTAAGAGTATTTCTTTCCAATTGTTTTCTTGCATGTGTATATATAAATATTTTAAAGCAAAATTGAATCTTTCGGTATAGTTTTATAGCCAACCTTTTCTTTCCTTTTTAAAATTTTTGCAATATTCCTTCTATTCCCCTCCCACCCTTGGTAACCAACAAAGAAAGTTTCCTTCCAAATATAAACCTTTCTTTGACTTTTTACAATAATGAACTATTCAGTATTTGTCCTTCTGTGACTGACTTATTTCACTCAGCATGATGTATACTCCAGGTTCATCCACATTATGCAGTGTTTTGCAGATTGTACATTATTCTTTAGTGTTGAATAGTATTCCATTGTGTCTCTGTACCATAATTTGTTTATCCATTCTTCTGTTGATAGGCACCCAGGTTGTCTCCACCTTTTCTCTTATTGTAAATGATGCTGCGATGAACATGGGTGTGCATATATCTGTTTTTCACTTGACTTATAGTGACCCCTCCTTGGGTTTCCGAGGTGGTATCACTATGGAAGTAGTTTGCCCAACCTTCCTTATGAGGAGTGGCTGGTGGGTTTGAACCACCAGCCTTCAGGTTAGCAGTCAAATGCCTTAGGCACTATGCTACCAGAGCTTCTTTCCTTAGGAAATATACCTAGCAATAGGATTGCTAGATCAAATGGTATTTCTAATTCCAACGTTTTAAGGAATCACCATATTGCTTTCTACAGTGATTGTATCATTTTACAATTCCACCAGCAGTGTGTGAGTCCCAATCTCTACACATCCTCATCAGCATTTGTTATTTTCTGTCTTGAACTTTGCTATTAGTGCTGGGGAAGATGGTATCTCATTGTTTTGATTTGCATCTCTCTAATGGCTAATGATCGTGAACATTTCTTCATGTGTTTGTTGGCTGCCTGAATATCCTCTTTGGTGAAGTGTCTATTCATGTCTACTGCCATTTTTTAATTGGATTGTTTGTCTTGTTGTTGAGGTGCTGGAGTTTTCCATAAATTTTAGAGATAAGTCCCTTGTCAGATAAGTCATTGTCAAATATTTTTTCCTAATTTGTAGGTTCTCTTTTTACTCGTTTGGAAAAGTCTTTTGAAGCATGTAACAGTTTAAATTTTAGAAGGTCCCATTCATGTAGTTAGTTTATCTTCTGCTGTTTATGCATTTTGGGTTATGGGTGACAGTCTA